GTGCCATGAACCGGTACTAATGCCTCAATGACCATTAGTCCCGGTTGGTGGCACCAACCGGGACTAAAGGTCTAACCTTTAGTACCGGTTGGTGCCACCAACCGGGACTAATGGGCATCGCGCCCTTTAGTCCCGGTTCGTGGCACAATCCGGGACTAAAGGGCCTAGGTGAATCGGAACTAATGCCTTAGCCGCACGAACCGGGATAAATGCACCCATTGATCCCGGTTCTGGACTGAACCGGGACTAATGGGCTTACCCGGCCTGGACCAAAGCCCCCTTTTCTACTAGTGTCTGCTTGGGCTTCATGAACCTAGAGCTTGAGGTTTGGACCTTGAGCTTTGGGGTCGATCAGAGGCCCGAGTGGAGTCGATGCTGGGCTACGACGATCCGTCGTCCTGATGACTTGATTATAGAGCCTGAATGTTGCAGGGCTACGCGACCTCCCAGGGTTGTTTTTCATCAGGGGATGTGGCTTCTGACGAAGGAAGATGACGTGTACCGGTATGACACCCAGACTTCTCAGATAACGAAGATTTCTTCGGGTGTTCAAGACACAAGATGCCATTATCCTGGATCGCAAAAGGCGGTGATTTTACATCTAACTAATTATGCCGTGAGTCTTGTGCAAATTAGATAACTTTTGGTAAGCAAGCTTCTTTTCTTTCTATAGACCAAAGATTGTTTGTATGAATGTGGATCTCTATATGCTACTCCTTTTTTGGGTAATGATTCCACATTTGCTTCGTTTGTGTCGACTAGGAATGCTGAATGTGTTTATGAAGTTTAACCGAGCATGCATATGTGTCATACTAATTTGTTCTGTCTGTATGTTTTAAGTTGTGTTTAGGTGTTTTAAAACTAGAGGTGATAGCCCACGCGTCGTTGTTGTGGCAATGGTTTCAAAGAGATTTTATTGTATGATTTTGTTGTTTGGAACTACTGTGCACACGATACTTAGTGTATGCGATCACTGTAGGATGACCAATTCAGTAGTGTGAAGTAGTTTGATGGTACACATGGACGGTTTGGTTGCACTGTCGAAGAGAAGAGGATGCATAGTGCCGTATGCATAGCAGTGCTCTTCGTTGTATGTAACAATAGTTTTACAATAATAATATGAGAGGGGAAACTAAAACAATTTATTGTACTATGCATTATTGCATAGCTGTAGATATGTATGCAATATGAGTAGCATGTATGGTGCATGTTAAGGTGTGTCTTTTTTCATGGATGGTGGCATTTATAGCATGGTGAATTAAACATAGTTGCATGTTGAGAGAAGTACATGCTAAGGTGAGTATTTCCTATGATAGTGACATGATGAGTTGGCGCAGTTGCATGTTTAAAGAATTATAGTTAGTGGGCCGAGGATCACCCATTTGGGTATACTAGATGGTACCCCGCATGTTGTTGCGGAATTGTTGTGATTTGATTGTATGGAGCATGACTATTTGAAGTAATAATATGATAACAAAATCTGAAAATCTAGCACAATACTCCCTCCGTCCCATAATATAAGAGCTTTTTGACACCAGTTTAGTGTCAAAATGCTTTTATATTATTTGACGGAGGGAGTAGAATGGAAATTCCCATGCATGTTGAGGTGGTTTTTCCTATGCATGGTTGCATGTCCTTTTCTTATGCATGTTGATGTAAAATCACTGTGATTTAAGTCTCACTTACAATGAACTAATGCATGTTGCATGATGTATGATTATCATGCGTACATCAGTCGATGCTAGTGGATCAAGCTAGTAAATCTAACAGCTACAACAATTTTGATCATGTGGAAGCACACGTGTTGATATAATTAGAAGTATAGGATAGGATTGGGAAGCAGACACATTTTCTATCTACTTGGGATCGCCGGAGCGTCTCCATGAGATTTTGGAGGTACCATCTCTTCTTGCCAGTTGAGCTGCGACCGATGTCACTTGAACATTGACGGAGGTTCTGGTTCTGCGGATGATCTTTGGCAAGCCGCTTTCATAGTGCGTGCGCGTTTAGTCTGCGTGGCTGTGTCCACGTTCGGATCACGTGTTGCATCATCTTCTTTTGGATCAACACCTGCTCGGCGTGGATTATCATTACTTTTTTTTCACTTTCTTTTTGTTTTCTATCCGCCTTGGCATAGCTTCGGTCGTATGACTTTGCTAGCTGTCGGTGTGATTTTTGTGTGTGCGCGTTCGTGTTGGTTGTGTGCATCTTAGCTATGCAGAGGCCGGGTGTATGCTCTTTGTATTTGTATCTTCTTGATGCTCCATATTAAGCTAATAAAATCCACCATTTGTCGAAAAAAACTTGGGTCTCCCTACTTGTCCCTCTCCACTAACTACTCTCCCAGCCGACCACAACTACTGAAATTTGCTTATTTGCCGAGTGTCCACATGCGTTGTGGTGCATGATTTGCTTATTTGCCGAGTGTCCACATGCGTTGTGGTGCATGCTGACAACTTGAAATGGAGAATCTGGTCAAAGTTCTTTTGAATTCAACTTTGAAGGAGAGAACTTTCACTAGCATCAGATGCACACTACCAGAAACTGATGTTTCAAGTATCAGGATAAAAAAAATCAGAACGATTGGTGGATCAGACGTAAATACAGGCCTTATATGGAGATGCTTCAATCCAAATGAGATTTTTTTACCGTGCATGTAATCATTCAAGATCTGAATTGATTTCTTTTTCTTTACTTCAGGGTGAGGAATTTCGAGATTTAGTTCAGTCATCGTCCAACAACAAGATAACCCTTCATTACGAAAGTTGAAAGGACTATATTATCCTTTTATATTAAGGGCCAGATTTAACCATCACTCCTATACGTCATCGAGGAGTATCATGGCATAGTAAAAAGAAAAGCTCTTCTGGATTGGTCAAGATCAATGCTAGATGCAAACCCAATAAAGATAAACAAGGCATATGAAATGGAAATTGCCAGAAAATGCTAACGGTTTTACAGGTTAAACTCACATGAATTAAACACACATACAAATAATTAAAATATAACCAGGAAACATGTTATATGGTTGAAAGGGAATTGAATTTACCCAACATAAAAATACAATAAGTAATTACTCCCTCATCCCACAATATATGACGTTTTTTACAAGTTATGTTAGCTTGCAAAAACGTCATATATTGTGGGACATAGGGAGTACAAATTAGTCAAAAAGAACATTAAAAACAAAACTACATCAGACCACAGTATTTGTAGGCTCGAAAATAGAATGACAACACAATTGACATGAGCAAAATTCGATGAAGCCAAATAGAATCCAGTCGACTGTAAAATAACATACTGGTTGTATTTTTTTAGGGCTATTGGTTGTCATTTGTATCAGCTTGTACGTAATCCCTCTATAGTGATCTAAAAGATCTTATATTTGTTTATAAAGGGAGTAATTTTTTTAGGGGTAATGTTTGTAATTTGTAAGTGTTTTTAGGGGACTTTTTAATTTGCAAGTTGTGTTCTACTGGTGGCAAGAGAAAAAAAAAGCAAAACAAATTTGAGACAAAAAAAAGAAAGAGAAAAAAAAGGCGAATTCCAGTGGAAGCAGCCACATCCTTGATAGGCCTAAAGGGTTTGGCCACTTGAAAGGCAGGCCCAGATTAGGTTGTGTTTAGTTCAGGCTTAAGCCGAGTGACAGGTGGGGCCGGCCGACCAGGAAGCGTGGAAAAAATCAGGGAGGGTGGGGCGAGATATCGTGTCGTGTCCCCGTGCTCTCGTCAGACCTCGCCAACGGCGGCACCGCATCCCACCGTGGAGGAAAGGAGATGGCGAAGCGGCTGCGCGAGGCGGCGCCTTGGGAGGAGGCGCCGGGGTCGCCGGTGAACGGCCTGGACGACGGCTGCCTCATGCATATCTTCAGCTTCCTCAGCCCGATCCCAGGTTCGGATTCGCTCCCCGCACCTCAGCAAGAGAGACGATTTGGGAAGAATCAGTAGTTGTTGCGTTTGCGGTCGCTCCTCTGCGTGATTGACTTTGGATTTGGGTGGAATCGCGGAGAATTAGTGGATAAGTAGGAGAACGGGCCAAAAAAAAAGGACTTTGACCTGCTTCTGTAGAGAGCAAGATAGGGTTCTGGGGTGATTTGTTGTATTGGCACCGATTTCACGCGGCCGTGTTGCTAAATTAGTGGGATTTAGGGATATACTGTTGGACGTGATGGGATAAGCACCTCCAGTAGTGAACGATGTCTCAAAATTAGATCTTGTGTTGGTTTGGGCTTTGGACTTGGGAATAGGGAGTGTGGTTGTCCAACCAAATTGCGATGGTTTATAAGTTGGTGCCATGTTTTACTCTGAGATTGTCAGACTCTATAAGTTGGTACCATGTTGTTCTAACTGATGTGTTGTTGCCAGGAGGGAACTGATATTTTGACCCTTGGGCTTCGCGGCCACATTTTCAATCGTTGGCCACCTAGTTCTGTGGCCCATTGGCTGTGCTGATAACAATGATATGCCTTAATGCCTGTGCTGGGCAAACTTTTGGACATAAATGAATGTTTTGCTAGTTTGATTGTGTTAAGCAGGGTCAGAATTGGATTTTAACTTTGTTGATTGCGTAATGTCTGTATTTCTGATTGTCTTTTTGTATCTCCATTTGTTAAACCAAGGAACGAGTGTGTGCACTTGTTAAGTGGTGTGAAATGCAAAGATCTTGTTTAGACTTCCACAGATGGAAAACTGGTGTATGTCGGGTCTTATTCATTGAGAACTGCAGTCAGTCACTTAGTGGGTTAGATACTGTTCTCACGTGGCCATTGGTTATGCTGGTTCAGTGGAAAACAAATAATCTCTTTACATCATTAATTACATGCATATGGAAATTCATAAGAGTTTAGGTGGTTTTGGATAAGTTATTTTGATTGCATTTCTAGATAGCCAAACCTTGACTTACTGCTGAGGTTTTTGTTGTGTCATTGCTATCATTTATCTTCCATGAAAAATGAGCCTTTTTTAGCATTTCATTTTTGAACCTGCAGATAGGTATAACACCGCCCTCGTTTGCCACAGATGGCGCTTCCTGGCATGCCATCCTCGGTTATGGTTGCGTGTTGAGAGGCCACTCAGAAATGTAAAGGAGCCTGGAGTTTATCCAAATCTCGAGGCTGCTATTTCTGCTGCTAGGTTCGTTTTTTCCATCTCATTTTACATTGCGGGATGAAGGATGTCCGAGATGACCTCTGCTTTGTTGAAGGCCCGGTGACACTATTCTAATTGCTGCCGGTGGCACCTATCTTGCATGTAATATCCAAATAAAGAAGCCCCTTTGCATTGTAAGTTTTACCATCCATGTTCCTTGTTATCTCAGTAGAAATTTTCTCTGGTGAAATGTTTCCTGCATTATTCACCAATTGTATTGTTGGTGCAACTGTGTGCTTATGTTTGTCATTTTCTATTCCATCAGATTGGCGGGGGTGAGCTTCCTGATGACACTGTATTGACATGTTCCCGTGGCTCCGACAAGTATGCTCCTTTCTTCGATTTTAAATTTCCCTGTCTTTATTTCTTGCTACTGTTTGGTGTTTACTACCAATCCTTATGTGCTGTCATTATAGTAGGCAGTAGCCCATTTTTACAAGACTGAGGTTCTCCTGGAACTGAAATCCGTCCCTTCGGTACACTTAATAAACCTGATTATGAAGTTTCCTATCAATTACATTACCCCGCATGATGGCTAGGTTGCTCTATGCCAAATTTGTTAACTTTTTACTGGAGCCGACCACAGTTATAATTCTTCGTATCACATAGCGGGTTTTTCTGGAAGCACTTTTTTGCGTTTCTATTTTTTGGTAATAAACCAATAGTAAGTTGAAAGCAGTGGTAGAGTCTCTCCACTTGTGGCCTTGAGATCCTGGGTTTGAACCAGCCTCCTTGCAGAATTATTATTGTGCAAGGGTAAGGCTGTCTAGAAATTCCCTTTCCCGGATCCCACCTTGTGTGGGAGCTTACAGCACTGGGTACACCCTTTTATAGTTGAAAGACCTTTTTTGCCATGTGCTGTGGTAGAAATAGAAAGTTTCCGAGATACACATGCCTTTAGATTGTTCAAAACTAACAATTTGGAATCTTGAAACTGAGAATTTATATCTTCTGGATCCTGGAGGATTATGGGTTTATAGTTCCTTCACTTGTGAATGTTTGTCTGTAAACTAAGGTGGTGGTGCAAGTTCAGTTTGTGAATGTTCGTCAGTAAGCTAAGGAAGTACAAGTCTACAAACTGCTATGTGTTCCCTATCTATTCACCTGTGCCATATCCTCACATCGTCTCATGTCTTTGTGTGCTAAACTATCTGCGCAGTGCACTGGAGTTCCTTTCCACGTGCAAGATCGCCAATCTTACTATCAAGGCGGAGCTCGGATGCTGCCTGCTTCACCGAAGCGGCAAGCTAACTATTCAGGAGTGCTTGCTCCAGTGCGAGCCAAACCCTCTGGACTACCTGTCCTTCCCGATAGTCAGCACGGCGATCGAATACAATCCATTATCATCGTCGCTCAAGGAGCAGCAGGGGCACGGCGTGACGGTCGTCCGCACCCGGATCGAAGGCGGCGCCAAGGCGGTCCGGACCAACGGGACCCTGGCGCTGCAGCGCGTGCGGGCCATCTACGCCCGCAGGTCCGTCTTCTTCTGGTTCGAGGTAGGGGAGAAGCTGGAACCCCTGTGAAACCAGTAAGCTGTTGGATCCTGTAATCTCATTCAACCTACCGTTGAGAGCAAACTCTTGTATGATGTCTGTTTCATGGCTGTTGTAACATCTGACAATGATAAATTGTACTGCTGCTTATTGACATTTTTTGAATCGTCATGGAGCATTGTGTTGCCCCTTACAAAATGAACTGAATCTGAATTAGAAAGTCGTTTTTCACGCGTACCTTTGGCAAGTAGAGTACTATCCATGAGTAATCATTAAAGTACCACGCTCCACTCTGTGACTCTCTACCAAGCAAAGCTGTAGTAGTACCACACTTGGTTTTACTGGCCGGTTTTATTATGTGAAAGTAAGCTGTACTCTCCGGTGTTGGTAAATGCGTGATTACTCCGTGGTTAACCACGCGCCGATCGGCACCGGATGATGGGCCGTGCGGTCGCAGTAGGTGATGCGCGCTGTACTTTTCTCCTTGTTTTTTTATCGGTACCTTTCGAGGTGGATTTTGTGCTTGTTACTGCCTGCTCAAACGGAGTAAGAGTGTCAAGACGCCGAGGTAGAAAGAAAAGGCAGCACCCAAGGTGGATCTCCACCATCCGGTATAGTGGTTCGTGTCATTGAATGGCTCAATTTGTATCCTCTTGGCATCTAGCAATTCAAACAAGTTGCAACGGTAATCTCCATCTCAGACCCACAGGACCAGTAAATAACTAAATAAAACATTTCACGCGCACCAGAGCTCTGGTAAAAAAAAAACATTCCCTCGATAGCAATGAACCGTGGCCAACTTGACCTAGACCTTCATCGAACCTTCTTGGTGATTTCCATGGAAGACAATTCCTTCTTCCTTCTTGGCGAGCTAGGAGCATTGGAATTCCGTTTCTCTTTAAATGCTTGCTTTGCTTTTTTTCCTTTCCTTTTTGGGGGGCAAAGGCAAAAGACCAGACTTGCGCTGCCAAAGCTGGCCGGCTGGCGCCCTGCGCCCTCCCTCCTTTGGCAAGCTGCTGCGCCAAAGCTGACCGATTCCCACTACGCATTTAAAAAGAAGTTGAATCCTGATATCTTTCTCGCCGGCTTGCCATCGACATGTCATCGCAGGGACAGGCCGAGGGGTTTACGATTACGAGCACCCCGTCTGACTCATCTAGGCAGGCAGGTCAGGGCAGGAAAGCCAAGGGATGTTTCGTGATCACGGGCATTGGTTTCCCCCCTCCCTCCTTTTCTGCGTCGTGTGCTTTTGTCACCTCTCGCTTGACTTATTCCAAACATTTGTTGACATATCAGGTAGCACTTTGACTACTCCAAAAAACATTGTTTTTCCATCAACATATTACTTTAAAAATTATTTATCTAGAAAACGTCGAGGAAAAGAGAGAGAGAGGGAGAGAGAGAGAGAGAGAGAGAGAGAGAGAGAGAGAGAGAGAGAGAGAGAGAGATCCATGATTTCCGACGGCGATCCTTTCTTCCGCATACGATTACCATTTCACATGATGAGACCGGACGTCCTTCCCTGTGCACGCCCCACCTTCAAATCTTCACTATCCTTTGAGTCTTCGATTCGCTTCGAATCCTTATGGGGAAGTCTATAAATTATACGCCCCTTGCTTGAATCATAATGACTTACTTCAATTTTGACCCTATACCCCATCAGTATTCGTATAGAACTAGACCGTATCTTTACTGAAATATAGCCTAGGATGACGGGATATTTGAATTCCACAGTGGTGTTTTTGTGTAAGTGTGTGTTTTTCGGCGTTCATGCTTCTTCGGCGAGATGTATTTGCTCCTCGGCCTGTTGATGTTCTCAATCTAGTTTTCATTATAAACGAGATCAGTCTCTTTTCGAGCTGAATATTCAGATGGAGGTTTCTAGGGTTTAAGCGAAATGAAATTGTAGATATTAGCATGCTACTCAAAATGATTTTTTTTGGTTCGATTGGTTGGTTAAACGAGCCTCCTAACTGTATTGTCAGTTTGCTCGTAGACGATGTAACCGTGTTCTCGTCTAATAAAGCTAACCATGATGACCGTCCCTTAAAAAAACATGCTATCCAAAATGTCTATGGTAATTATTCAATACTTTCTCTTGAACTTTCACCAAATTTACCGGATGGGCCCCTGAACTCCATTTAATACTTAGTATACAGGCCAGGTTGCGGGACCGGAGTAACTGTTTTTGACCGTTGATGATCCCCTGCGTGATCCGGCTGGGGGACAGGGCCCACACGCTCATCAGCCCACTATTACCAAATGAACAGAGATTTTCCCCGATAAAAACACCCCATTTCGGCCTTTCCCTTCCCTCCAAACCAAACCAAACCCCGAGGAGAACACGCCCACCCCATCCCCTTTCGTCAGAAGGAAAGACTGAAAGAGGCGACTCGGCCGAGAGAGAGAGGACAGAGACGGAGCCTCGCAAGACTGGGGCTTTAATTCGAACGCGCTCGCCTCCGTCCTCCCCCTCTCTCCCCCCATCCATCTCGAGCCCTCCGCCACAGTACCAGCATCACGCCAAACCCCCATCCCCTATCTATCCCAGGGAAGTGAAGGACAAACCAGCCGCCGCCCCTCCTCTTCTCCGGCCGCCCGCTCCGATCGCCGCCCCCCTCCGTCGCCTTCCCTCCCGAGGTAGCACCCGCTTCCCCTGTTTCTTGGATGCGTAGTGGGTTGGATTTTGAGGTGCGCGTGCGGGTTTCTGGCTCGGATGCGCGCGTGGGATCGGGAATGCGGGTGCCTGGACTAGGGTTTTTGGTTCAGGTTCGGGAAATCTTGCGGCTTGTTGGGACTGATTAACTTGTGGGTCACAGTATTCCCCACCCACGACGACCCCGCTAGGGCACCTTAACTCGGGATGCAGTCAATCAATGGTTAGATTATCCGGTTATATCGCCAAGGGGGTTCGTACGGCTGATCTGATGGGGCTTGGTGTAAAGCCTCAGCCTGCAGCCTGCTAGTTTGTGTTTTCGAGTTAGGTGATGATGTTTTGGCTGCTCTGTTGTTCCTGCGTTTCCATTTACAAGAGTCATGATTCCTAATCTAGAAAGGAAGAAGACAAGATTCAGGGTTTGTGTCTTCGAGTTAGGTAATGATGTGTTGGTTGCTCTGTTTATTTAGTCATGATTCCTAGTCTAAAAAGGAGCAAGGGGGGAGATTCAGGCATGCTGTTGATTGGAAATCATTACAGCTCCTGCATGCTGCTGGCATCTCCTTACATGAGGTGGAAAGATGTTCTGTGTGATGAACTCCATGCCCCTGCACTTCTTGTTTGAGTTGTTCATTGCAACTTTATGCAAACAGCTGCTGCTGCTGCTGTGAGTGCAATACAAGGGGTAGTGGAGGCTCATGGAAGTGCCACCCCCCTTCCCCCTTTCCTGTTCCACCACTCTATCATTCCCTCTGTTATCATATTTCCTGTTCTTTCCAGTGAAGCGGTTACTACTTACTAGTTATAGCTAGATTAGCTGACCAACCAACATGTCCTTGGTTGCCTTTGGTATAGTTGGAGAAGCGGCACTGATGTGGTTCTCAGCTGTCGGTGTGCATTGATTTTTCAACTAAATAAGGTGGTACTGAGTACCTAACTAATTTTGGATTCAGTTACATGGATTGACACTGAAGAAAACAACTGACTAGAAAGCTGAACCGAAAGTACAGTAAGCTAAAAACCTTCAGATCTTTTGCTGAAAAAGGTGAAAACAAGCGACATGGCATCTATGTTTTTTGTTTAGCGTGTAACGATGTAACCTAACAACACTTGCTGGGTCAAGTATTACAAACTCTTTCTGAGATCCAAGCCCATCTGCCCTCATGATTAACTGACCAACCATCATTTTCTTAGTTTCCTTTGATATATTTGGAATAGTGGCATTGATGTGGTCTTCAGCTGTCGCTGTGCACTGATTTTTCAACAAATTAAAGTTGTACTGAGTACTTAACTAAATTCGAATTCAGTTACATGGATTCACACTAAGGAAAACAGTTGACTAGAAAGCGGAACCAAAAGTGTAGTAAAAGGCTGAAAACCTTCAAATCTTTTGCTGAAAAATGGTAATTCGCATCTATGTTTTTTTGTTCGGTGTGTAATGATGTAACCTAACATGACTTGCTGGGTCAAATATTACAAACTTTTCTGAGATGAAGCTCATATGAGCTCATGATTTCTGCATCGTTAGTGCTCTTCTTTATAGAACCTCTAAGTGCAGTCAAGTCATGTTATGATTGGCTTATGATGAAATTTACGTTTGTGCGTTCCTTAGAAAAGTGAGTTAGTTTGATCAGGAGATGTTTTTTGTGGATAAAAAAACGTTCCTGTCTTTTAAAATGATGATAATATCTGTTTCATTTGCTTCCAAGCCTAAATTTTTCTCTTGATTTCTTTTTCCTCCACACAGGATTCTGTATCTATAGGTTTGGTCATGGCGTCAGCTGCCTATCTTGACGACATTGATGCTGAAGTTATCGACCCTCCAAAGATTGAGATGTTAGATGTCACGGAACTCGTCGGTGATCTTATTGAGCACTCACCGAAACCAAATGTCATAGTTTCTAGCAATGTGCGTGAGCTATTGGAATGCCCTGTGTGCTTGGTCGCCATGTATCCTCCAATTCATCAGGTATGCCTTCTTGCTGAACTAATTACATTTAACTATAGCATATCGGTTGCATTATACTAAGCCTTGTTCTAGGCTTTTGGCTTTCCATGTGTATGCCTACATGTGTGATCAGATAAGAATATCCAGTTGCAAAACAATATGAAAATGCTGATTTACTTTCAGGGTAGGCAGAGGTAAAATAGGGTTGTGGTTGGTGACCTTTTTCTATGAATCACTTTGACCAATAAGTGATATCCCTTCCTTTCTGATATCCACCCCATGCATCAGGCCCACTTGTGATTAGCTCCCTGCAAACATTTTGAACTTATACATTACAACAGTCTTCCTTTTCATTTTCAATGTTATCCAGATTGTTCATTGTCAAATGATTCTAGTAGGAGGGCCTGATATCTCATGATTATTTTG